CATGATCAAGCATTAGGTATCCTTGTGTGATACCTGACTATGTCAGTCAGTACTTCATATTTCCAAATGAGCTGAATATATATGGTGCTGACCCATGCTTGTAGTACTCTAATGACCTCAATATCTTTACTACAGCTCTATATTCTATATAAAATTGTCCATAGCAAATTTTGCTATATAGGCCTTGAAGCATTCAAACTTTACCAGATTCTATAGGGGAATGGGTTAGAAGTATCAGAGAACTTCAAGGAACAGTTTTCTATCCAAAAATAGCTTATCTGTCAGGGAACCCCCGCTTCGGCCTCCTTCGGACCCTCCGAACGCATCCGAGGCGCATCCGACCGGCGCCCCCTCGGACGCTCCGACCCACCCCGACCACCGTCCACGGCCTCCTTCGCCCGCACAATCACCGATCCGTCAAGACCCTCCCAACGATCACCTTGGGACAGAGCCTGCGACGCCGCTCAGGCCTTCTGCACTCTACGTCGGCAGTTACGGACAACCAGTATATAGTTGGCGCCCTAGCAGGCGGACCCTTAGAGTTTCTTCTCTTTGGATCCTCCCCTGCTAGGTCGGTCCCTCCATGTATTTCCTGTAGTCTTATTCACTCTTTGGATCCTCCCCTGCTAGGCTTTCGTCGGAGTCTCCAGGGTTGCCCTTACATTATCATGTTAGGTGAAATTCCAGAAACTCATATGTCACTCCTTCAGGTGTCACAGGTGGCATACCCATATTACTCAGGGATCTGGTCACAGATAAGCTATTGGAAGGCATTAGGCTGTAGAGGGCCTTGCATTAATCATTCAGCATAGCTACATTAGTCTTTAACACCAGTCTTGGGGAAGGTTAGGCTGTACTCTTCAGAAGTGACTGATGTCACACAATGCTATATGGAAGATTCCACTCCTAGGGGGTTTGTTCTATGGTTTAGATGTGGTAGAGAAGTATATTTAGATATCTGGAATGAGTCTTACCTCTATATATGTGTTGTAATCAAGTATGTCAGTGGTTACACCAGAAGGTAGGGTTGGGATACTAGCAGTGAAAGGGACTGTCCGCACCAAAACACTTGCTCAAAATAAATTTCAAGTATGATCTAAGAAATTGGTATAGGCTGTTAGGGGACTTCAAATTAACCTTAACAGAGCTTCAACTGCTGCCATAGCTATACCAGATGTTGTGCAATGTTGTAATCAGTGTTATCTATACTCAATCTAGTACATCTATAGTTCTGGTGCTTAGAGGTGTAGAGACAGATCCTCAAGGGCAGTTGTTATGGATCTTCACACCTTCCAGAAAACCCTCTAACCTTCCCTATATCTGCCCTACAGCTTATGATAGGATGTACCCTAGAGCCCCTGTAATTCAGTGTTGTCTGCTGAGGCTGTGAGGCTATAAATCCATAGAATCATTTATATCCATATGCCCTACAAGGATAAAGTTAGATCAGGATTATCCATCTAGTAATCATAAAGATATCAGTCATTTGTTCCATGTCTTGGGTAAAACATACAATTTATCCTACATACAATGGGTATACAATGACTCCTTAGCTTGATACTGTAGATTGTATTCCCCTAGGATATTACCTTCAAGGTGAGCCCCATATTACCCATTTCCACTAAGTATATTTGAAGATACACTCTAAGTTGGGATGGATCATTTTCCAATGATGGGGTCATATAGACCTAATTGGACCATTTTACAGATGGAAACCTCATGAAGAAAGGCTGACTAGTGATAGTTTCAAGCCCACCAATGTTTAGATTCAAGCCCTAGCCATTGTGCAGTTGAATTGAGTTAATAACATTAATGATTGAGTTAACAACAATATTGAGTTAATGAGTTTTATTAATATCTCTTGAACGAACAAAGATATTAAGTAGCGGTTTGTACTGGGATTATTTTCCCAACATTCTGCAACTTTTTCATTTTTGAGGGTGGAGGGGTCGGGAGGCATGTCGAGCACGTCGGGCGGGCGTCGGGGGGAGAGCGGGATCAGTAGATGACATCAATGACACCGCCATCATGTTGCGATCATTAAGTTTTGTCAGATATCAATTTATTCCATTTGAATTGATGAAGAATTGAGCTCACCATTGAGGGCAACGTCGAGGACGACGACGGCGGACTATTTGACAGTGACAGCGGGGTATTTGACAGCAGCGGGGACGGCCGACGACAGGGCCGACGACAGCGGGCAGCGATCAGCAATGTCAATCAATGATCGGTGACACAAGTCACGTTCGTGACGACGATGCCAAGGCCATGGGGGCGGCGGCGGGCAGCGCGCACAGTGGGCGGGGGCCGGGGAGGCAGCCGGGAGGGTGATGGCAGCCTCTGGACCTCTTTCCCCGCTACCAAGACCCCTCTTGGTAGCCATATTTAGCGGGGGTGCCCGGTACTGGCTTAACCCCCTCTAGTTAGAGGGAGAGAGTACCCCCCTCTATCCCTCTAACTAGAGGGTATTAGGGTGCACTATAGGTGGATCTTTTTTTAAAAAAACCCGTATATGCCTACAATATAGACTACTAACTATAGTCAGACATTATAGATATAAGATTGCTGAAATTAAGTATGTATACTCCCATGTAGATACAAGCTACTGATAATATGATATCTGGATGTCAGTGGATGCAGCTTGACAGCCAGGGAAGCTCAGACCGCTCTGCGGTTGCTTACCAATCACTTTGTAAGTGATGTCGCCTTTTTGTAATTTGCGGCGCTGGGGGGAATTGACACGTGAATGGCAAAGCAAGCTTCCCCAATATCCAAAGTTGACTACTATGTAGTAGTGCCCGCGCAGAGGTGCAAAAGGTGCAGCAACCGGTTGCTTGCAGGAGCCGGGTGAGTCAGCAGCCATCAATTGATGCATCGCTGCCAACAGTGATCGTCCGCGGTGACAAAGCGACATGACGTGAGAGCTTTGAAGCGAGCGTTTTGAAGTCAACCATCATGACCATCAGATCCGCAAGTCGAGAAATTGCACCTCGCTCATCGACGAGTTGCTCACAAATATCCACCACGTCTCGGGACCCTGGCCGAGCTGCCTTGTTTAATTCGATGTCAGCAGAATACTCAGGTTCCGCACGGTATAAACTTCCGGAAACTGAAACGCATTTTTCTACTTGTTTATACCCCTCACTTGGAATATGGTCTAGCAAATGTCTGACTTTTCGGCCCAGACTACCGGGGCGGAAGCAGCCCAAGCCTTCGAAAACGCTATCCGTGGCAAGAATGGTGCGTGATCTTGAGTGTTGGAGGCTGGGCTGAAGCAACTTGAACTCAAGTTCTGATTACGGGCACATCTCTCAACGGCATCGGATACGAAACCGCGCGGGTCATTTCCCAATTTGCGAATCTGGTCGTCGTCGCAGGGTATAATGCAGAGAGGTATGTATGACTGTTGTGAAAAATATTGGCGGGCCCAAACACAAGCACTAGGCTAAAGCGGTCCGAAGAGGAGATTAAGAACGCTTTCCCTTCCGCCAACATCCGGCGGCTGATTCTGGACTTGTCGTCCCAGGCGGCTGTTCGCCAGGCTGCAGCCGAGGTCAATGCATACGAAGAGCCGCTCCACGTGCTCATACACAACGCGGGCGCGCCAATCGCGCCATCGAAGAGAACGGCGGATCTTGACGTCGACCTACAATGGGCGACAAACCACTTTGGCCCATTCTTGTTCACGAAACTTGTACTGGGGAAATTGAAAGCTGGCGCAAGCAGCGGCTATACGCCTCGCGTGGTCTACGTTGCCGCTAAGAGTCATGCATTTGGAACTGGCGTGGATTTCGACCATTTAGGCCGACCGGAGGAGGAAGGCTACAGTGCGATGGGGGTCTACTGGAGTACGAAAAGCGCCAACATTATGGTTGCTAGCGAGCTTGCGCGGAGGGCGAAAGGAAAGATCAATGCATATAGTTTACATCCTGGGGGTGAGTCGTTTATGCGGTTGCTCTTGGTCATTGACTCGGATTTCCATGGCAGTTGTTTATACGAACATATTTTCCCGAATGAAAGACGCCAAATCGGTGCCTCCGGAGCTCACTTCCATTGGCATCATAAACGACGAGGGGAAACCGGACATGGACAAGTAAAACGATCGAAGAAGGGGCAGCGACGTATGTGACTCTCCGAGTCGGCGTCTCCACACATTCTTCGAATTAAATCCAGCTTGTGACACAGAATCGTTGTCGCAGCCTTTGATCCGCGATTGGATTCGTCATCGGGGGCTTTTCTGGACGACTGTCGAGTGGCCACGGACCAAATTGCTCCACATACTGCAGATGCGGTCAGTTGCCGCTTGTGTTTTATTAACTTCAAACTAATAGTAGGCAGGCGAAAGCAGCTCGGCTCTGGCTACTAACGGAGGGCATTATCGGCGAGCGATTCAACGTATAGTGAAGCTACTAGTAGTACTAGTATGTCAAGTCTCAAGACGAAAGAATTCAGAATGATGAGGTTGACTGGCTGACAAATCAGTTGATGCCACCTGACCATTGACAACCATGAGCTATGTAAAACTCTCAACTTGAAGTCGGTACTAGACGCCAATGACGGAGCTTATTTCGGCATTGCGCACCAGAAGTATTGTCTGGATCTAATTCTTGACCTCAACCAGTGAGGCCTTTTATGACCTTCATCTTCTCTTTCCCTCGCGCTCCCTCGCGGCTCCTCAACGGTACTAGTATCCATTGCGGGTACTTATTGGGGTCTATTTCAAGGTTTCGCTGCGCAATGTTTGTTTGGGGTATTGAAAAGGTTATGGGTTTAATGGGCTGAATGGCAAACCCAATAATAACGTTCGTGGCTAAATTGCCAGCCACACTCATGGTTTACTAGGGCCCAGTCGTAAGGGTCGCGGGTTACCCGACAACCGAGAGCATCCGGGACTCATTGACTTGGTCGAACAAGCAGTCGTTGACATTGATTGTGGCCTGAAATCTGCGGCTGGCTACCCGCAACTCTTTCAATTTGCTGCCGCGGCATAGAGGACTCCCGGTGGACAGTCTTCATCCTCAGCCGAGTATTATAGAGATGAAGCAAGCGCACGCGGAAAACAGATGCGACACATGTCGCATCTGGTGCGATCAGCGCCATCAAAGGTGTCGTGTTTTGTGCCGCCCGCACAGATGCGACATGTCGGAGGGTGTCGCACCTGTTTCAGCACTGAGGAGGGAAATGGGAGGGTGTTACGGGGTGTGTGACACCCTCCTTTTTTTTCCCCGCCACTATCCACCATAGCAGACCGTCGTGCATCTTGCGTGCGTTGGCTTCATCTAGTATGTCCCGTCCTCAGCCACCTGGGTAGTATAAAACGGAGGCGAAACCTGGTCCTCGACAGCCCAACTCCACTTCTTCGAATCTTGACGAAGACAAGACAAGCCAACAACAACAATGCGCTTCACCGCTGCCGCTATCATCGTCGCTGTTTTTTCTGCGATGCAAGCCAACGCTGCCATCCGATTCTTCTCCGGCAAGAACTGCGATGGAAGTGCTGGCGCGGACGTCGCCTGCGACGGCAACTGCTTCCCGACTACCGGGCGGCACTCGTTCGAGGTTGCTCACTGACCTCTCGCACCAGCCTCCACTAACCGAGTAATTCCCCAGATCACATCCAAGAAGGCCCACACCGTCACTTTTTTCACCCACAAGAACTGTACCGGCGAGGCTTTCAGCTTCGGCCCCGAAGCGCCCGGCAAATGCATCGGCAACATTCAGACGACACCACCCGCCAAGTCTGCGAAATGCACCTGAGTGGTGGTTCGTTCAGGTTCTCCGTCTCTTCGAACCTTTCAATTGGAAACTGATAGCGCTCAACCTAGGAAAGGATTCTTTGAAGGCTTATACTTCGATTTTGTCGGGCTGTAACGATAGGAAGAGCAATTTTGGGCAACGAAAACTGCTACTAGTCAACTACTACTCCACAGCATGATGTATATATAACAAATATACAAATAATTGTGTATACTTGGACTTGAAAACCACTTGAAAATGTGGGCGAAATTGCGGATCAGGAATGACGGCTATCGGCAAACATGTGACCTCCAAATCCTCACGAAAATTTTGCCGTCAACGTCAACGACGATGCCTCCAACTCCACCAGCCGACGCAGCGCCTGGGCTCATTGACCGTGTTCAGTCGTTTGTCTCGGAAAATAGGACCGCGTTGCTTGTTGGTGCAGCGGTTCTAGCGGCTGGTGGAGCGGCTTATTATGCGTCGTCTTCCTCGAGTTCTTCTTCCTCTGGTGCTGAGCGGAAGAAGAAGGGGTCCTCGAAGCCGACTTCTGGAAAGAAAAAGCCAGGCGCAAAGTCGGTGAAGGACGCGGATGGCCCCATATTGGAGGAGCGGAAACCGAAGGCGGTTGCCGAGGAGAGTAATGGTGAGTCGCAGACGAATTCGCGTCCTTTGACGCTTCTGACGCGCCTGCAGAAGACTTAGAGGTCGTTGCCCAAACTCCGGAAGCCCTGGCTGCCATGTCTGTGGACGTAAGCGCCGAAACACATTGCATAGGTTCTCATATTCACTTGAATCCAGGAGCGAAAGGAGCTTGCTGCATCATACAAAACCAAAGGAAATACGGCTTACACGAGCAAGAAGTTTGCTGCGGCTGCTCGTCTCTATACCCTTGCCATTGAAGTGTCACCGAAGCCCGAGCCAGTCTACTACAGCAACAGGGCAGCATGCTATATAAACATGACCCCTCCCCTGTACGACAAAGTTGTAGAAGATTGCGACGAGGCCCTCAAACTGGACCCGAACTACGTAAAGGCGCTTAACAGGCGAGCAATGGCATTGGAGGGTTTGCAACGTCATGTGGAGGCTCTACGAGGTCCGTGCTCAGTTATTGTGCAGCTTTGTAATTGTCTTATTCATGTTCAGATTTCACGGCTGCTACCATTCTCGACAAATTCACCAACCAAAGCGCTTCCCAATCCGTTGAGCGTGTCCTAAAAAAACTCACCTCCGCAAAAGCAACCGAAATACTTGCCTCCCGAGAGCCTCGTCTTCCTTCATACACCTTCGTTTCCGCATACTTTGCTGCATTCCGACCCCGAGCGCCTCCAAAAGTGAGCGAGCCACCATCAACAGGCGATAACACGCTGCTCCTGGCGCTTGATGCACTCAAAGCAGAGGATTACCCACACGCGTTGTCACTCGTGAACGAAGCATTAGGCCAAGACATATCAACGAAGGAGGCAAGGGCAGAAGCGCTCAACTTACGAGGCACATTCCGTTTCTTGACCGGCAACGTTGCAGAGGCCCAGACCGACCTGCAAGACAGCATCAATCTCCTCCCAAGCTTCACTCAAAGCCTTGTCAAGGTCGCCAGTGTCCATATGGAACAAGGCGACCCCTCGAAAGCTTTTGAGGCTTTCGACGCTGCGATTGCTCAGAATCCTGACGACCCTGATATTTACTACCATCGTGGTCAGGTCTTGTTCATCATGAACGAGTTTGGTGACGCAGCGGAGAATTACACCAAATCAACTTCCCTCGACGATGGATTCGTGTTCAGCCATATCCAGCTCGCCGTCGCCCAGTACAAAAGCGGTAATCTGGCCAATAGCATGGCCACATTCCGGAGGACTTTGAAGTCTTTCCCGAACAGGAGCGAGCCACAAAACTACTAGTGCGTGTTCGCTATTGCGTCGTCTTGTTGACTGACCTCTCCCTCAGTGGTGAACTGCTTCTTGATCAAAGTCGCTTTGAAGAAGCCGTCGAGAAGTTCGAGAAGGCCGTCGAGCTCGAGTCGAATAAACCCCATCACCCGAATGTCCTCCCGCTCGTCAACAAAGGGTTAGCCATCTATCAATGGAAGCAGGATTTGGGTGCTGCAGAGCGGTGTTGCACAGAGGCGTTGGGGATTGACCCTGAATGCGAGGCAGCAGTCGCGACTCTTGCTCAATTGTCTCTGCAACAGGGGAGCATCGAGAAGGCGGTTGAGTTGTTTAGCAGACAGGCCGACCTCGCACGGAGCGAGCCGGAGCTGGTCAGTGCACTGACGTATAGGTATGCGTCAGAGGCACAACTCGAGTTTATGAAGACATATCCTGGAATGGCGGCGGAGCTGAGGGCCATGGCCATGGCCATGAGCTAGTCACTCCGGAGTTTAGTGGGATTTTTACTCCTGAAAAGTTGATTCAAAAAGTACTACTTTTTGAATCAACTTTTCGGAGTCACAAACACAGTAAACTCTGGAGTGAGCTACTTTCTTCTTTCTCTCATACTCAACTATTTACAACCCTTACCTATCCATCCTAACATGCTCAATCCACACTCATAACATAGATTGAACCGCACTGTTTCTTTTGGTTACATGGACCCACAAAAAATCTTTGAGTGTGAGCGTGATCGGATCCATTGGCTTCGGATCAAATCATTATAGCAGGTTGACTCCAAACCACACCCTAGCCCCATTCTTAACTTCTTTTGCTTTATAAACACGCTCATTGATGCCCCCAACGACGCGACAACAGTCCATATCTTCAATAGTCTCTTCTAGAACGGCAAAACCTGCGTCCATAAGCACAACTAGTGCCACTCGCAAAAGCAGCAAACCTCCCTCCACATCTAGCAGGAAACCTACCTCCACGGCATCGATGAGGACTCGGCACGGTAGTGCTCAGCCTCGAAGAAAGAAAGCCGAAGCTGCTGGTGGCGATCCAGACGCTCCGGGAGCCGAGGAGTGGGAAAGGATGCAAGTGTTTGGGCGGTTCGTTGGTCAGTCGTGTATCATGCGTCTTTTACAGCTCCAAGGTACTAACCAGTGTCTAGTCACCGACGGCCAGGGCCAAGAGCACACTTTCCGGGTGGGAGACACGTATGTCGCGTCTTTGCTAACTGGATGGCTTGATCAAAGAGACATAGAGCTGCTATACTTCCTGCGTCCACCCCGCCAGGCGTCAAGATTGCGCCGCATGAGTATTGGGTCGTTAAGATTAAGGCAATTCGTGGGCGGTTACGATTGTCTAAACCCGATGGGGAGCGCCACTCTAAGCGCCGGAAACTGGAGGAGAGTTGTCCGCTGGATGTCTGGGTGCAGATCCAGTGGTACTACTCACCCCAGGAAGTGGCCCATCTCGTGAAGGGATTGTAAGTGGCCCAACTTCCATCGAGTCATAGAACTCACAATGAAATTATTTAGTCATCCTTCCCATTGTTCACTATACGAGCGCATCTACTCTAATCACAGCGAAACTATCTCTGCAGAAACATTTGAGGGTGCGAATGAGTGTCTGTCATGACTTGAATTAAGGATTGTTTCAGGCCGTATATCTGTCCGCAAATTTCACGAAACAAATCCAGCGCAGCCGCCCATCGAGCCCGACGAATTCTTTTGTCGCTACTTCCTTGATGTCTCCAAGGGCCAGATCTCGCTCTACGTTCCCAAACCCAACATATGGAAAGCTCCGGCGCTTTCGCGGAGGCCAAGCTCGCGAATTGGCGCCATTCCTCTGGGATGCATCTGTGACGGGCCCTATAATTTGCAAGACGCCGACCCGCTGTGGGTGATGCAGATGTGTGCCCGCCCGACCTGCTCGCGGTTTTTTCATCGCCGATGTTTGATGGAGAACGGGTGGTGGATAAGAAAAGGCGAGGAGAAACAGCCGCTGGCGACTGTTTCTGAAGATGGAGACGTGTCACCGCCGACTGGCCGAGACCAGGTTATTCCAACGGCTCTCCTGTGCCTTGCGGCCCTCCCCCTCGTTCGCGGAGCGACCATAACGACGGGCTTTCCGCGGGTGGGCATCGAAGGCACGGGACATTTCGTCATGGCAGCTCAACAGCTCGTGAGCGAATATATGGAAGGGTGTCAATGGGAGGCGGTATTGGGGATCGACACTGCTGCTATCGAGGAGCTCAGCGCGGTTGCGGACCCACTGATCATCCAGCAGAAAACTGGCGCGGAGGTTACGATGATATGTCCTGGATGTCGCGGGGCAATATGAATAGAATTTAGATATGTTTGGACAGGTTGGAATATTTGGGACACTATAAACGACACGCAAGCCCTTACTAAATTAGTCAAGTTAACTACTCTGCAAAAGTTTTTCAAGAGGCCTGCTTGTCCGCTTTCCTTGATTGCGCCCAGGCTTTCGCTCGGGCTTGTCGGGCCACAAGTGCGGCATTGGCATCATCAGCATCTTCTTCTGCACTACTATCCCCATAATCCGCCAAAGTACCCAACCCGATCCCACTTGCTTCCTTTGCTTTAGCATTCTCTTGCTCGAGCTTCGCGTCGTGCTTTGCAGAGGCCCACGCGCGCTTCCAGCGGCCACGTAAGAACGCAAAGCGCCCATCAGCCCCGTAGTTTGCAAGGATACGCATTTCGAGTTGGGTGGGGTTGTCTGCGGCCATCATATTTTTCGCTGTTCGCTCCATGAGCTGGCGTTGCGGGTCGTCGGGCTGCACGCTAGTCAGCTCAGAGAACACGAGTTTAATGGTCAGTAAAAAGACAAACCTCTTCATCGCTTCCTCCCCAAACATCCTCTTCTGGTACACCATCTTCGATGGAACGAGCCTTCAGTCGCTCCTCTCTTGTTTTCTCCATGATCTTGCGCCGTTTGTCGCGATGATAATCGTCTGCTTCATCAGGCGATAGGAAGAATGTGTCCTCGCTATCAGAAGGCAGGTCGGACCAGCCTGAGGGCGACGCTGGTAGCGGTGGTTGTTGCTGCTTGACTTTTGGCAGGGAGTCGAGTAGCAGTCGGGCGTCATATCTGGGTAGGTGCATGAGAAACATAGGAAAGGCAAGGAAACAAGTCGAACCAAGCAGAGAACATCGGGATCAGCAGGCCACAGTCTAGACACTTGTCCTACCTGTCGACCCAAATAGATTCGTCGGAGGACGGTGTTTTCCATTCGATAAGACCACTCTTTCCATTGCGATGCGTCGCCAGCTCGAGAGACTCCGCAGCGCTTCTGGCCTGGGGTCCGCGCCGGACTTCTGCTTCGTAAGCTTGTATGAAAAGCACCGGGTTTGGCGTTGGAAGCTCCAAGTCTGCTCCTTGCATGTCCAAGGACACCTTTGACTGTCGTTCTTTGCGTTTTCGCGACAAAGGCATGATCGTCGGCTGGAAGTTGGCCACGTTACGCGTGACCCCCACATCTGCTCCTTTACCATGGATTTCCTCCACTCGCAGCTGGCCAGGATACAGCACCACCTGGCCTTCGTGGCCGTCGACCCCATAGACTGGAAGTTCTATGTGCAGGGCATATCATGGGCCGTCACACTCTTTGAATCCTACTTGCTGTCCGTCCGCTTGCAACGTGTCCACCCATTCACCGCCGCTGACTCCTTTCAAGGCTCCGACAATATCCCCTCTACTCTAAAACAGAGCCCCCGGCAGCGCTCAAGGCACACATCAGTGCTGCCGAGTTCGAAAAGTCGCAAAAGTACGGCAAAGACAAGGCCAAGTTCGCGCTGTTCTCGGGGTTGTACAAACAGCTCCTCGATTCGGTCCTCATTTATGTCGGCTTCTATGCATGGGCGTGGGAGGTCGCTGGACTAGGCATGGCTAGATTCGGGTACGGGCCAGAATATCAGGTATGCGACCTTGGAAAAAATTCCCGATGAAGCTCGGCTCATCACTGTCTTGCAGATTACTCAGTCCGTTGGATTCGTGTTTTTGCTGTTCTTCCTCTCGTCGCTCCCGACCATCCCGCTCTCGGTCTACAGCACCTTTGTCCTTGAGGAAAAATACGGCTTTAACAAAACCACGCCTGCGCTTTTCGTCACCGACATGCTCAAAGGTTGGGTCATCGGTGGCGTGGTGCTTGCCCCCTTCCTGTGGGCCTTTCTCCGCATCTTCAACTGGGCCGGCGACCGTTTTGTTCCATGGTTGATGATGTTCATGTGAGTCGTCTTGCTCTTTGACGGTTAATTCACCTATTCTGCCCAGCCTCGCATTCCAGCTTGTCATGGTTATCATCTACCCCATGATTATTCAGCCCCTCTTCAACAAGCTCTCGCCTCTTCGCCAGGGTGACCTGCGTTCCCGCATCGAATCTCTCGCAAGCAAGCTCAAGTTCCCGCTCAAGCATCTTTATGAGATTGATGGCTCGAAGCGTAGTGCCCATAGTAATGCCTACTTCTTTGGCTTGCCCTGGGTACGATTTATGTTCCTGTGCGATTCCTTCTGACTTTATATTTAGAGCAAACATATTGTCATCTTTGACACCCTCATTGAGCAGAGCTCTGCGGAAGAGGTCGAAGCGGTGCTTGCCCACGAACTCGGCCATTGGTATTACCTGCACCCCACCAAAATGTTGGCGGTTTCGCAGCTGCACGTCTTTTCGATCTTCGCCCTCTTCCCCGCCTTCCTTCACGCACCACCCCTTCTTACTTCCTTTGACTTCCCAAAGGCCGTTGCCGCGAAGCCTCCGACTATCGTCGCGTTCCTGCTATTCCAGATGATCCTTACCCCGCTCGAGGCATTTGTGTCGATTGCGATGCACGCTATCTCGCGGCACTTCGAGTGGGAGGCGGACCGGTTTGCGTGCGAGCTGCAGGACATGTTGCCGGGCGAGCAGGAGAAGATGGCGGATATGGGCGACCGATTGGGGCGCGCGTTGATCACGCTTCATGTGAAGAATCTGTCCACGGTCTGGGTCGACTGGATGTACTCGGCGTATCACCACTCGCACCCGACGCTGACAGAGCGGTTGAAAGCGCTCGAGGCCTTCCAGTCGGCGCGTAAAGCCGGCGCAAAGAGGGGTTTGTGATGGATTCGTGGAGGTTTAAGGAGGATCGGAGGTGTAGATTGCGAGTTATAGTACACTCGTCATGCCCAGCACCTGTATCTCTACTAAGTAATATAAGTACTCACCTATTTTATTGGCGGCAACATCAGCACGTAGTAGTTATCACCATGTTTTGACCAGGAGAGGATTCTAAGAGGATTAGTCATCGAAGGGATTAGTCATTCTATCAATTTTCTCCTTAAATTTCCGGACCGCGTCCACCGAATAGGCGACGATTTGGAAGAGAAGGCGCACAAATGTGGGACAGGTTCTCGCACGTTTGCGTCTCAACAATGGCGGAGGTCGTGTTAACCCCTTTAGTCCGCTTATCTCCTCGTCCCAAACGAACGTGCGGCCCCGACTTTTAAAATGTTGGCTGGGCTTGCTCCTCCCTTCCATGGCTATGGCTGCCTCTGAGACTGCGATCGTGCTCTCGACGGCTTTCGCGCTCTTATGCACCATCTATGTCGCTGTTTCCCCGTTCTTCCCAAAGCCCAAGCAGGCAGCGTGGATCCTTTCGACGGTAGCAAGTGGGACGATGACGGCCTCGAGTCTCCCTTTTGTCAAGGATTACTTGGAGGGAGGGCTGGCCAATGTGGATGAGCGCGTCAGATTCGCTGCAGCAATCAACAGGGTCTTTCAAGTGAGTGTGTAGAGTTTTGTGTGGCTCTACAGTATACTAATGCTACATTAGGCATACCTTGCTGCAGACCTGGTCGTTGGGGCGTTCTTCTATCGGTCGCAAATCAACCTTCTTACCGGGTGGGTGCACCATCTCGTCTATATTGGCATCTGCGAGTTTGCCATTGGAGCTGGCTGGGGGTATATTTTTGGTCTATCTGCAGTCATGGAGGTTCGTTTGCGTCCTTTCTTTAGCAACAACTTACATTTAGATATAGCTTCCAACGTTCGTATTGGGCCTTGGCACCCTCTTCCCTCATCTGCGCTCGGATAACCTCTTTGCATTGACCTTTTTTGCGACGCGTATCTCGTTCCACGTTGTCCTCATTTTCACATACTTCCTCGCCGCCAATCGGCCACAAGGCAGCCTTGCTCCCGCCCTTATTCTCACCTCCGTATTCCCTCTCCATGCGATGTGGTTCCTGGGCTGCATCAAGGGCTTCATCCGTCGCTCCAACCAACGTAAAGCAACCACCGCCAAACACCCCCTGACCCCCGATGTCCACCTCGATTCCCGCAGTCTTGCGCGCCACACCACTACCGCCCCCATCGTGCCCCCATGGGACGTCACTCTGCGTCTCCGCCGACTACGCGCCCGGGTTGGCCGATGGGTCTGGACAGGGGCTCCGGTCACGTGGGTTCGCGACGCCGGAGTTGGACGATGGGTTTCAGTACGGAGGCCAATACGCCCACGCGCAATGGCCCGGCGGATGAGTCAGGGCTTGGTCAACGCTCTACCTTCCAAGGAGGCCATGATGGACTTTGTTGGCTGGGGTAGCTGAGTGCCTTCACCCTTGTTTTCTACTCTTTTTTTTTACTGGCAGTGTCGCTTCAACGCGCATTTACGATATTCCTTCGACTCCTCATGTTGCATTACCACCTTCTTTGTTGTAACCCTTACAATCACACGTGATGCCTTACTTAGACCCATACCTATACTATCTAATACTTGAGATTGACGACCCCACTTGAAGTTGCATGCCCTTTGTCGAGCTGTTGTTACTGTGTGCCTTGGTTGTTGTCCTCGAATCTGTATCAATACATTATCTATATCCTAGAAGTTCTACGATACTTAAGTTGGCATTTAAAAGGCTCTCGACTGGTGCTCATTCAAGTTGTTCTGGAAGTTTCCGCTCCTTGTTTCTCAGCCCAAAATTGCTCTTCCTGGCGCACCGCTTGACAAAGCGACAGCATTTTGCTGACTTCCGTCCACAGCACATGGTACGATCGCTCAGTTTCCTCCTCTTCTCCTCGCTCCATTATTCTGTGGTATTGGTCACTCCATCTCCGGTCATTCAAAGTTTCGACATAGTCAAGGCACGGGAAGTGGCCGGAGAGAAAGCGTGCGACGGCACTGGGGTCGGCGATGGGTGAGATTCCCATGTTCACATGGGTGAGGTTACTCTGCGTGATGCGCCGCTGACTATACGTGTCGAAGTCGGGGACGTCGGAGGCGTCAACAGGTATGCTGAGCCCCACCAACAACTTGCAGTGTTTCGCGAAGGTGCGGAGCGCTCGGATGGTGGTCAGTGGCCGCGCCTGGATTGCGGATCCGGACCGCAGGGTTAGATATTCGACAAGTGGCCAGGAGCGCGCTAACTTGGAGATGGTGTCGTCGTCGATGAGGAACCCGGCGGGGGGTTGGAGGTCTGCGTAGTGGAGGTTGGAGAATTTGAAGAGGGGGACTAAAGACAGTCCTGTCAGCGCATAATTTTCCCTTGGTTCATTCGTGGCTGGGTCGTTGATGGTCTCGTCCTCGGGAGGGCCGAGACAAAGTATCCTAAGATTGTCCGTTGTGCATCGAGAGCCAGCAGCCACGTACAGCGCATCTAGATCCCTCTGAAGCTCGGGGAAGCAGCTGTTAACTTCGAGATGAGCAAGCTTCCACAGACGAGCGGAGTTGATCAAGTCGACCGCGAATGCAGCTCTGCAGTTTCTTAGGTCTAACCGAGAAAGCGCAGCGAAAGGTTGCGGGTCCAGCGGCAATGGAGACGCAGGCACTCCTATGTCGTCGATTTGCGGTTGGGTAAGTGTCAACTGGCTGAGATTTGGAAGGAGGGATAGATGGTTCAGCGCGACGGCATTTATTGCCGGAAGCGTCAGTTTTTTTATTTGGCCCAGCTTTGAGGCCAGTTCTGAGCTCGTGCAAATGACAGAGTCATAGTGGTCGTTGCATAAGAGGATAACGAGATTGTGAAGATGCGCAAGTGGAATGTCCAGGGAGGCCAGTAAGTGAATGTCGGAGGCAGTCTTTAAAGTGTTGCCATGGACTTCGAGGGATCGAAGATTGGGGCCTACAAAGAGCCGAAGCCAGCGGGTTGATTGTGCAGCGGAGAGGTAACGGTCGCTTGGTTTCCAGGACAGATGACGAATGTTGGGGAAAAGGCGACGCCCGGGAAGCGACCGTTCAATCGGCTCCAACAAGTGGATATGTGCCATTGGACCAGGCAAGTTCCATCCATGAGGGAGGTCCAACTGCTTTACGCGACAGAGATACTTTTGAGCGTGCTCCCAGTCCTGCTGAGTCAGATTACGTGTGAATTTCTGTCATACGTAAGACGAAAGAACAAATTTCCATTCAGTAGGGAATCATGATAGAGGTTGGGAGAAATGTTTGCATACAATTGTTTGCCAGGACCTGCGAGAACCTGCCAGCTCTTCATGCACGGTAGTTCTCTTCCAACAGTCGTCCGGAAGACACTTCAATGCATTTTCGAGGCTCCCCTGTTGGTACCACAAGACATCGAGCGCAGGGCCCATAAAAGCTTTACATGTCCGTGCCAGCGCAGCGAGAGTCGGAATGTCGCCTGCGTAATGACTGCTGAAATAGGAGAATATGTTCTCGAGAATCTCTAGAATGGCCAAGCATCGGTGCATTGACTGTCGCGGCAAGTTGACGGTTAGTGAGGATGAAGGTCAAAAACAGAGCTTCCGCCGGCATGATATGACATCGATATGGCCGATGATCACATGACTCCGACTTCTCTGCAAGTGTCATCCAACGTACGCTGTTCACTTATGCTTAGGGTGGAGGGACTAGACAACATATTATATATATGGAGCCAACACAAAAGTTTCAACACAATTCTAACTAAGTTTCGGAAAATTTGACTTCGGGACCGTGAGGCTTGCCAGCGAGCCGGCGGTACTATAGGTTGGGCAATTAATTTCAAGGTGAGAGAGAGAGCTTAAGATCATATAACGAACCGTTACTTAGTGCATTTAGCAGACTTGGCGGGCGGTCCACCGGTCTGAATGTTGATGCACTTGCCCGGCTTCTCGGGGCCGAAGTGGAAGGCCTGGCCGTTACAGTTGTCGCCTGCAAACAAAGTGACAGTGCGGTCTTTGTTGGCCGTGACCTGGAGAAGAATCAGTCGGTGCTGGGGCAGAAAGCTCTCTAAGTAACCTTGAACGAGTGCCGCCCAGTGATCGGGAAGCAGTTGCCGTCGCAGTCGACGTCCACACCGGCGTCTCCATTGCAGTCCTGGCCGGAGAAGAACTTGATGGCCGCGTTGGCTTGCATCGCGGAGAGAACCGCAACGATGATGGCAGCGGTAAAGCGCATGGTTGTTTACTTGTTCTGATTGAGATTCGAAGAGTGGGATTTGTGTTGGGCCGACTGGGAGGATTTGCCAGCGTTTTATACTCCCCAGGTGGCCTTAGATGAAGGATGTTCGCCGGTGGCCCTCCATGCCGCGGCGTCAGCTCCTCGTAAGAGTTGCGGGTAGCCAGCCGCAAATTTCGGGCCATAAATCGACGTCAGACTGTTTGTCTAGCGAGTGAATGCAGGCCGGATGCTTTTATTTGGCGGGTATCCCGCGACTTTGGTGGTGGATTATAATGCTGCCAGTGTTTGTTTGGGATCAGACTCGGAAGCGAGGTAGAGCATGCAGAACTGGCGAAACAATGAGTGAACTGGGAATAATTAAAGGTTATTACGATCCAGGCACTGACAATGACAACTGGTCCAGGGTTTACCATTCAGTCGAGCTTCAAGTTGTTGAGCTCCATAACTCTATTCGGCCCAAACGGACACCATGAGCCCTCGATGGAGATACCCCCAACTCACAATCGATATGCATTGAGGTAAAGCGAAGAACAAGGTTGCTGCGACTCCAACAGTACCTGTCCAAGCTTCGATAGTCCTATGCAGGCCGTCAATGCCAAAACAAGTAGAGCTCGTAGATTCTAGAATCCCTGAGGGTCCGAGCTAGTCAGGGTTGACGACGGACGTGAACAACTTGAACACGACCTGGTGGTATCAAACTGAGATGAGCGGGAAACAGGAGGTACGTACAAGCAATTGCTAATAGGCATATTCAAGTCGACGCCCTACGACACGGATGTTGCCTCCACTTCAGCTCCGAGTCGGGAAGGCATCTTGCATTCAATCACTATTGTCCCGAAGTGGGTACCTGCACATATGGGCGTGTATTTGGATGGATATGACAGCTGGGAAAGCTGTTGGGTATCATGAAGATTGGCTCTGAGTTCGAGCTCGTGGTGGTCGTCGATAGTCAAAATGAAATTTGTCAGCCACTCAGGCTGTCACATCGTAATAAACTACCACAACGAGCTCAGACGAGCTCCGGAGCTGCATTTCACTGCTTATCGTGACTGTTTCTTATGCATGCAGACTTTAGTAGGTGCTTATGGACGGAGAAAGTTTGACAAGCCCATCCCAATCCAAGTACAAGTTTGTCGCTACAAGATGAAGGCAGCGCTTACCCTAGCCACTCGGATGTGTACGCAAGACAATCCGACATTACGATTAAAGAACACTGGCAAGAGATACTGCTTAGAATTCTCGGGCAAAATTGCAAACAGCGGGCTCAGTGCTACAAGCTAACCTGCAGTCTTTTGACGCGGTCCTTTCTCCTGGCTATCGGGTGAGGAATGCCTCTGTTTCATGATTGACACTCATGACACCCAGTTCTCTGAGTCTCTGACTGCAAACAACCTAACTAACTAACCACTGAAGTATGTATTTCTTTGACAATTGAACTCAAATGTTAATTGTGTCAATCTGCATCGACTTTGGTTTACTAGTCATTCTGTGTTCAATTATTCAGTTGTCGGCTAACTTCATTGTAAACATGTACTCATCCAAATCTGTAATGCTCACTCACTGGACTATTTCCGCACTCCAGTGTTGTCATCTGGTGGTCCCTTTGGCCCCCCGGGGTTATCAGATGGTTGGGGATTGGCAGGTTTGCTATGATAACTAAACATTTATCAGATTACTCATCTACAGGAGAGCGCAAGACAGGAGAGCACAAGAGTCTCACCGATGATTGTGGTCTGAGAATGTCATGGATGGGGACTGCTCACGGCAGTTTGAGCCAGAGAACAAATCATATTTAAACCAGAGGGGGCGATAAGCCCTTGATCAGCCGACCCTTTGGCGCATAGATAACAAGAAGCAGAAGGAAGAAGCAAATGATAGAATTGAATCCGAGCCTGAGAGACATAGAGAAGTAAGAAGATAAAATAAATTTAGACAACGGGTTTCACTATATATATCATAGTTAGGGATATTACTTTTCTATAGGATACTAAACTTAGAACCAAGTTAAAAAAAACCCATATTATTCAATCAAGCAACACAGGCTATCTACACCAACTCTGAAGCTATGCTATTATGTGGCACAATATCCTAAAAAGGACATTTTTGTTAATAGACACTGGAGCTGGTAGTTTTAGTGCCTGTGTCATGTACTGTTATACAGTGTCACATAAAGTGATAAGTATGATAAATTTCCAAAACAAGGAAATTTCACCACTTAAGAGTACAATTATCAGAGAATGTTACAAATTGTCACAAAATAACTAGTATTTATTTTGACTATACAAGCAACTTTTATTAAGTGGCTTATTGTAAGGGCAACCCCGGAGGCCTGAGATCAAGGTCCTAGCAGGGGAGGATCCAAAGCGTGAGCATTGGTAAGCGAATGCAAATGAAGCTGACCTAGCAGGGGAGGATCCAAAGAGAAGAAACTCTAAGGGTCCGCCTGCTAGGGAGCTGACTATATACTGCTTGTCCGTAGCTGCCGCTGTCGGGCACAGAAGGCTTGGGCGGCGTCGCAGGCGAGGTCCCAGGGCGACCGTCGGGAGGGTGTTGACGGATCGGTGATTGTGCGGGCGAGATGGAGGGCCAGACCGGAGTTGGAACTAGAATTGGAATCGTCTCCGAGGGGCCAAAAGGGAGGTTCCTCTGACACTTATGGTGGCAGCCAAATAGTTATGTTGGAACTGTCCAATCACTAGCTAATGTACAACTGAGCCTCTATCTCTATAACTACTTAACATAAATATATGATTTAAGTACCACCAGGAAGGTTCTTCAGAGTACTGTCCCATTTTGTTCAATTCAGTAGGCCTGTGACCAATGACTGTTTGTGATGGAATCTATTTATATTAGAGCCTCAATGGACTTAAATATTTGGGAAAAGTGCTTATTTATTGTTTGTATCACTTTGATCACATCATTGATCATATTAATTTTCCAAAATGTATTGAGCATGCTGTGATCAAAGTGTTATCGACTCTGCAATCCAGAACAATAAGTCTTTTTTGTGATTCATTCTAATACCTGACTTAGAACGACTCACTATAATTGTCAGGGGAACCTCCCTTTCGGCCCCTCGGAGACGATTCCGACTCCGGTCCGACCCTCCATCTTGCCTGCACAATCACTGATCCATCAATGCCCTCCCAACAGTCGCCCTGGGATCTTGCCTGCAACGCTGCCCAGGCCTTCTGTGCCCGACAGCGGCAGCTACGGACAAGCAGTATATAGTCAGCTACCTAGCAGGTGGACCCTTAGAGTTTCTTCTCTTTAGATCCTCCCCTGCTAGGTCAGCTTCATTTGTAGTTGCTTACCAATGTTCACGCTTTGAATCCTCCCCTGCTAGGACCTTGATCTCAGGCCTTCTGGGTTGCCCTTATAATAATTATTTCTGACTACTGACTTGGAGTATTATTTGATATTTGGGTGTCGTCACATGAACTGAATCCTAAACACATTATCAGTTGATAACACCAAATTGTACACTCTACGCTATGTCTATCAATTATCAATTAGCTCTGACTACGTGTTTCGCTAACACTATTTGGCTGAAATGTTCAATTTGGCCATAGGTTGAATTTTTTACCTGATTAGGAAATTTGGTATGTTACAGGCAGAGAAAATTTTCTAGATCTTTTAAATTGGAATGTTTTGGGACTAAAAAAATTGATTGTGACTAATGACCTGCTAAAATATTTCAACCAAAAAATCCAATTTGAGACTGTGACAAGCATAATTAAATTGAAATCACTGTGGGAGTTCGGAAATAAACGGCGCCTGTTTTGATCAATTATATGCCTAAAATTAATATGCCAGAAAAGGATTTTTTTTAAAATTTACATTTACACCCAAAAAAGATTCACTTATATGCTCCAGGGCCCTGATATATATCATATAAGTGCACATTTATTTTGTGCAAATAGAGGCATATTTTTTTTTCCTTTTTTTGGTACATGGATTTTAGGCATATAATTGATCGAAACGGGCCCGTTTATTCCCGAACTCCCCCAGTGAATGGGTCAGTATTATCAATTTCTTTAAAATTAAGTCCTATACTATAGTATTTTACTCAATTGGTATATCACATATCACACTGCTGATTTTATATATTTCTTTTTGCATATCATACAGATTTAAGTAAAAACACATTCCAAAAGGGTAATTGCTAACAGTTCTGGGTGCCTCCGGTACCAAGAGTTACCTAATTAAAAATAATTCAAATTGAATTTGTTGTATTGAATGTTACAGCATGTATGTCAATTTTTTTCACAAAAAACCACATTCCATTATATATAGGCTTATCAGTAGTATATAGGTTATAGATAATTCATATAAT